GGACGATCGATATCGCACCCAGCCTTCGGGAACACAGGGCCCGCCAGGCACACACCATGTCTTCGTATCGTCCGCGCGGCTGGGCGCGTGTTTACATCGGACGCAGGCCCAGCTTGTGATCTCAAACAGCCAATTGTTTGACTTCTGCTGCGTCCGTAGAGTTAGCCAACGTTTTTGTGTGGGGAATCAAGCCAAGCGTGCCATTGTCTGCGACGTGGATGTTTAAAGGCCCTGTGATGTTGTTCGGCAAAAGTACCTAGGTCCTGATAATTGGTTTTTTACCCTTCTATCTGGCAACAAAACTGACACCTTTTGGCGTCATCTGGTCCAACCCATGTGAGACTAGGCTCTAAGGAAAGCTGTCTCGGGTGTGGACCAATCAACTTCAAGGACAGTGCACATTATCAGAGTTATGTTTTTTGTTTGCATTACGACTGCAGGTATTGTGGTCTATGCAAACATGACTCCTTGTAAAAAGGTGTCAGTTTTGTTGCCAGATAGAAGGGTAATAAACCAATTATCATATTTTTACTGGCAAATGAGGTTCCAATGGTGTAAATACCTAGGTCCTCTTTATGTTGACATCAGTGGGAGGCATCACCTGGTTGGCACGGGCCCTGGTTTGAGGAATAAAATGGGAACCCCTCCTCATCCGTGACCAGATTCCCTCTCTTCAGAGCCCGGCTCATCGGCCGCCCTTTGAGCCATAGGCCGCTGGTGCAGTTACACCACCTGCACACTCGGTGGCTACGCCACCGGTTGAAATCATAATGCGTAGTGCAAATGGTGTCATTATTTTTTCAGTGATTGTATTCTCATGCATTCACTCGCTGGTTTGACCAGCTTCTTGCAGAGCCTTTGGAAGCATCAAGCGACCGTGCCTGTGTGGCCAGGCAGACTGCTACAACTACTACAATACATGGGCTTGCATATATCTTTTGGTTCTCAAGTTAGAAGCTAAATGATTGACAAACATCTTTCAGTACGTTCTAGATTTGAAGTTTTCCATACTCTTTGGTTCTTTCGGTAAAGTCACGTAGGTGAAAAAATAAAAATAAAAATAAGAATAAAAATTGTAAAAATAAAACAGTAATTTGTAGTTGTTTGCTGTGGTTGTCCCACCTGATGACGGAAGCTTGTGTTGCTTCCGAAACGTCGTGATATCATTTGATTATTTCTATTTTTATTCTTATTTTTTTTCACCTATGTGACTTTACCGAAAGAACCAAAGAGTATATTTCAGTACGACATGGGTTAAGCTGTCTACTGGGTTTTCGGGTTGTACCGTGTGTTGTTGGGCATGATGTCCGCACAGGACGGCATGATGTCTGTTCAACACCTCATCATGTCCGTACAGCACCTCATCATGTCTGCACAGCACGCGATGTAACCCAGAAACACGTTGAAGAGATGTACAACACAACACTTACACGAACACCTACTCATTATGTGGGAGAGTCCTTGTGATGGGTGATTGGGACATTAAGAGAATTCAGTCAACTGCAGTGGGTGTCTCTAACTCGTAATCGGAAACAATCACTCCATGAAATATTTTTGTCTGCTCAGGACACATTTTTATTCTCTCATGCTTTCGGTTCCCTGCATTAGCTTCTATTGATCTTCATTTTCCCTGCAGCAATTGGGCAAGAATTTATTTATTTATTAGGTGATGCCCTATGAAGAAAAAAACTTGCATTTTTCGGAAGATTTACATTTGTTATCGTTGCTTGTCCTTGTAGTTTGTTAATTTCTTAAGTTATAAGCAGAATGACATCTTAGAGTAAATCAATAGTCGTGTGATAAAGGCCTTTTAAGTGCTAAAGCCGTGTCGACGTGCAGTGTGTGCACAAAATTACTATACTCTCGTCAGCTATAACCATGAGAATCATCCTGAGATACTTGCTATTGGCTTGAAGACTGTGGGCTCAGATAGCAGTCGTGTTTAAAGGCGTGGTGGTATGTGTGTAGTACACACATAATTCTTTCATGCAGGATTATGAACTAAAATATATAAGCTAGTTATTATTTGTATTTGAAGCTTTCGTGACTGCAGGAATCCATACTCTTTGGTTCTTTCGGTAAAGTCACGTAGGTAGAAAATAAAATAGATCACGACGTTTCGGGCACAACACAAGCGTCCATCATAAGGTGGGAAAGCATGGCCTGCTGCTTTCCTCCTACCTGATGACGGACGCTTCTGTTGTTGCGCCCGAAACGTCGTGATTTGTTGTATCTTATACCTACGTGACTTTACCGAAAGAACCAAAGAGTATGGCTATTATTTACAGCTCTTTATCAATCCACTGCTGGATGAAGGCCTCCCAATGCCGTGCAGGTCATGGGGAGTTTATCGACCGCACATCACCGCGCTGGCCAGTGTGCGTCGTTGAATTCGGGGGCTCAGGACCTGTTCAAATATCCATGGCCACCGAGGTTGGCCATTCCTGGGAAGCAAATTCAGGTCACCGCTGTTCGTAACCGGTGCTCGAACCAGCGTCACGCAAACTTCTGTTATATGTGTCTTTTATTTGACTTATGCCTTCCGGACGCTGACCACTGGCCCCCGTGTTAAAGCTCTTGAAGCTCTAATCATTTAGAAACCGCTTCAAAAGAATGATAAGAATTCCCAAGTGTAGGTCCGACACACGCGGACGATAAGAGTGGTTAAAAATAGAGCCCCAATGCTCTTGACACACAGGCTGGACTGCATTGCAGTATGAAGTGGACACACGTGGATATACAGTTCTCAGGATCCTGTGAATGTTTGCTGTAGAGAAACTGTAGAATGTCCTCATATCAGGTTCTCATTGAGTGAGTTTTTATTGAAACAAGCTCCTCTTTGATGTAGGTCTCTGGTGACGACCGTTTTCCCCTCATGCAAAGTAACTCACGAATTGAATTTGCCAAACATCCCAGAACTCGGTTTAATCACCAGTGGCCGCCCAGATTAAAACCCCGGTTTTTATCATTGTTGGTGCCAACTGGAGTCTTGAATGATTCACATTCGCGAGTTTACGGCAGACACGGGCACCCATGGACACGGGCAACAACTGCGAAGACTTTGGAAGATGCGTGACTCAGCCACTCCACCTTCCTCTTAGAAGAGCTCATCTCCCACAAAGCACTTCTCCACACGATACTGCCACCTAAAACCCCCATATGAAAATTGTATATTTCTATTAATTTCATGTTTTTTCTTACGGGTACTTCTTACACGTGAGCAGTGCTGGCGCATTGCCTCCTATCCACTTTAAATAAAGTCAATTATTCCTTGCTTGCTAAAGTATATTCCACTTTCAAGGTCCGTGTCAAGACATTATGGCCAGTGCCGATGATTTCGCCACATCTCAGCATGACTTCCTTCTGCAAGGTCAAATAGTCATTGCAGATTGACACATTCTTCAAGGGCCACTCTTAAGAATCTCATCACCATCATCTGCCTTTAGATCTTTCCCTTGGTTGCCCATCTCTGGGTGCCACTCCAAAGCCTGTCTCATTGATCTGCCCTCCTCCATCCTGCACACGTGTCCCACCTATCACAACCTCCTCATCCTGATTGAATCTGCGACGCTTCATTGCCAAGTTCCATTCCGAACTTCCAAAGGCCAGAACTTAACAGAGCAACATCGGTATCATGAAAGAGTTGTAACCTTTCTGTTGTGAAAGTCATTGCGCGCGGCTCGTATTGTGCCTGTCCTATGAGCACACTGTAACAACAGCCGTGAATCACAAGCAGACAGTGATATCATCCACAGCACTTGTACCAAGCTAGTTATTCTGGTCACCTTCGCAGCTCAGTCATACAATAAAGGAGGTCATGGGACAGAGCCAGATATAAATGAAGGGTTAATAGACCAAGGTGAATGGCAGATGCACCACCTGCGCTCCCTGCCATGCCAGCTTGCTTTTAGCCAGCCAGCACTCTGCTCATTGATAGTGTCGCCCCGGTAGCTGGTGTTGATGCTGCAGGGCGACTTTCCTTACTTTGTTATGTATTGTGGAGACTGGCAAAATAACCCACCACCTCTTCGCTGGGTTGGATTGTGGCATCACTACCTCCACACAATGTTGGGTAGCGGTTGTTTTTGTCGTGCGGAACATTGGCGCAGTCGTTCGCACTCTGTGCTACGAACCCAACGAACTGCACGGCTGGTTACGTACGGTGCGAAAGAAGTTCAACATACATACGACCGAGTTTAATTCCAAGCCGTGGCTAACAGTGGTGGATAGTGTCTTAACTGGTTCTGGGCCTATCCTAAGTAAACTCGGTCTTGAATGAGGACTGTGTCGTTGTGCTTGCTTAAACAAATGCTGCTGGATAATATTGGTCTTGGAAAACAAAGAAGCTGGTAGACTAAAACAATGTGTTACTTGTATGTGGAGATACAGAACAATGTTCTGCTTATGCATGCTGTTCAATGAGTACCTGGTGGGGCTTGTTAACATCAGCCCTGGGTAGACTAATTAAGCAGACCACGTCTCCACATACAGTACTAGTACTCATTTCGATATTGAATACAAAAAATGCGTCCTCCACAACCCACCAGACAAACTCTGGACAAGTTTCAACATAACATTGCTTGACCCAACATTCTGGCGAAAGGGGAGATCTTTGCCTCAGTGTGTGTATAGTTGAGCGTGGGTACTCACAGTCGGTGTAATGACGTCCTTGTATCCATCGCTTGAATGTGTGTGAGCATGATAGCCGGCGCTCGTATAATGTCCAAATGCCATGTGTGTGCGCGTGTGTGCGTGATGACTATCTGAACCGATCCTGAGCCTTCCCAAGGTCGACTCATCCTCAAATGAGTACCTGGTGTGGTGTGTAAACATTGCCACTCGGTGGATAAAGGCCGCCGGGTGTGGTGGTGGCCACCCACTCCTTCGTGTGCCGTTCCGGCCTTTCTAAGTGGTCGCTAACAGAAATTGCTCAAACAGTCTGTTGAAAGCTTAACGGGGGGTCTTTGTCTCTGTGTGTGTGTGCGTGCCAATCGCTGCAGGCGGACAGCAGCGCGAGCTTCCTTCGCGCCGCGAGGGCTGGGAATCTGGACAAGGTCCTCGACTGTCTGAACAATGGCATCGACATCAACACCAGCAACCAGGTGATGCTGAGACCTCACTTCGTCTACTCTTAGCCTGGTTAAGATGTCATGCTGGCTGAGCAAGAGGTCAAACCGGTGAGATGTCAACCAGGTGAAGTGTAGAATTAGTCAGATGTCAACCAGATGAGGTGTAGAATTAGTCAGATGTCAACCAGATGAGGTGTAGAATTAGTCAGATGTCAACCAGATGACGTGTAGAATTAGTCAGATGTCAACCAGATGAGGTGTAGCATTAGTCAGATGTCAACCAGATGAGGTGTAGAATTAGTCAGATGTCAACCAGATGAGGTGTAGCATTAGTCAGATGTCAACCAGATGAGGTGTAGAATTAGTCAGATGTCAACCAGATGAAGTATAGAATTAGTCAGATGTCAACCAGATGAGGTGTAGAATTAGTCAGATGTCAACCAGATGAAGTGTAGAGTTAGTCAGATGTCAACCAGATGAGTATGTTGACCACCTGAGACCTCATTGAGTGACGCACTGAGCCAGGTAAAGAATTGATCAGGTGGGATATGAAGTGGATGATATGTCGACCGGATGAGATGTCTACCAAGTCAGATGTTCAACAGGTAAAATCAGATAAGACATTGACCAGGGGAAACATTGCATACCACTAAATAACCCTGCATATACCCGATCTCACCAGGGATCAAAAGCTCAGAAGGTTTAGATAATACTTACATTAGAGCCTTCCTGGGATATGCGGGCAGTTTAGGATTTAGCTGTGAGATGGCCAGTTGATTTCAGTACAGCAATTAATCATTTAATGTCTGCGGAGTTTTGAGTGTCCCCTTCCCCCTATTGTAGTTGTGGGTTTTCCCTCGAGTGCCCTGGTTCCCGCGCACATGCTAAGCAATCCTTGATGGAATAGCGAACATCATAAATGCAACATTGTCCTTCAAAAGAGCCTTGAGACTCCACGAGGCTTCCCTGGGTAAACGCAGGTAATTGTTACTCGTAGTATAAAATGTGGACTGAGAGGAATTGACCAGGTGAGATGCCAACGAGGTGAGACGTTGATGAAGCAGAAGTTGACCTCGACGACAGCAAAAGAACCTCCTTCCTTAAACCATACGTCCATGACACCTCCTTTGCCCCACTGTCAATTCTGAGCCGGACGAGCCATCAGTTCGATGGACAATCAAAAACGATTCGCTCCTGCGGGAACGACTTTGCCGTCCTCGCACCAGGCAACGATTAGACATTGACGGAATCGCTCTGCTCAACGGGAAATGATTGCCGACAGCAAAGAGAGCGGACACGAGCAGCAAGCAGCAGCAGCAGGAGCAGGAGCACCTCCGATTGGCACAGTTGGCTCCATACAGTGTGAAAGAAGTGCATACATACAGTAACGCAGTGGCGAGATGTTAACTCCCTCGCCTGGTATGGAGGAAGTCGTGGCTCCGATCCCCATGGTTGCGTGGATTTTTCTCCGGGTCCTCCGGTTTTTCCCTCCACACTTAGAAACATGCATTTAGATAATTTCGCTGCTATAAATGTCCACGTCATAAGCCATTTCGTTGAGCTATCATTTGTGGCCAGGTCGATTAAAAAAAAAATAGCTATATAGCTCAGTGGGCTACACTTGGTAAAATAAAAAAAGAATATAATTGTTCGCGACCACTAGGGCACTCATCAGGCACCGCGCCCATAATGCCAGAGGCACTCCTTTCCAATGGTCAGCGGATGGAGCGAGCAGCCAATGCTGCGGCCAAATCAGCCAAGAAATGCCCGGCCGTCTGCTTCACAGTGGACATTAAATATCCCGTCAGCTTTCGCGACCGATATTATCTATTAGACGTTTTGTGGGTTAGATGGCATAAATATATTGTGGGTTTACTCTCCAACACATCAGTGTGCTGAACTAGTCACTAATTGGCACGTTTTGTTTAAGTGACAAACCTTACTAATTGGCTGCCGGGTGGATGCAGGTTTAACGACACATTTATATTCTAGATTTTCCTCAATTAATACAGTAAATTCAGCTGTGACGGTCCCACCTGATGATGGAGACTTGTGTTGCCTCCGAAACGTCTTGATTTATTATTTTATTTCTATTATTATTTCTATTATTTTTACTATTTTTTTTTACCTACGTGAATTTGCTGAAAAAAACCTAAGAGTATAGACACATTTATATTTACGCCATCTTACCCAAAAACCTATTTTATGGATTAAAGATCCCGTGAGAGTATATTGAAAGATGGCAACAGGGCTCCCTGCAGGCGAACTATAACTGTCTGTGAAACACAGCACCCTCATGATAGCCCTGTTGTACAAATGATGCGAATACCACATGTACTGGATTATTATAATTGTTATGAATTTAAAATTTGGCCCCGGGAATGCCTTGCGGCCAGGGCAGTGTAGGTGAGGTCACCTTGTGCTCATTACGACCGTGGTTGACGGAGTGTGTTGTGATTAATTGGGTCCAACATGTTGATTCTAAACAAAAATTATAACTACATTTATATTGTACTCTCTGTTTTTGTCTGTCTATTTATCTGGTCATCTGTCTACCTACTGGTCTCGCTATCTGTATTCCCGTTTACATGCCCGCCTGCCCGCCCCCACCTACTTACCTTCCTACGTATTGTTCTGCCTGCTTGCTTTCCTGCCTGTCATGTCTGTCTTCCTGCCCCCTCTCTGTCCTTCTGTCTGTGCATCCACTTTTCCACCCACCATATCTGCTTACCTGTCTGTTTACCTTGCTACCTCTTTGTCCATCCATCCATTATTTTGTTCATCCATCTATCCATCCATTCGCCTTCCATGCCTCTCTGCCTGTTCATCCATCTGTCTGTTTCTCTGCGTGTGTGTCCATTCATCCTTCCATCCACCTATCCATCCATCCATTCATCTGCCTGTATGCGTGTCCATTAATCTCCATCCATCTATCTGTTTCTGTGTCCATCCATCGTTCCACTGCAGAACGGTCTCAATGCGCTGCACCTGGCATCTAAGGAAGGCCACGTGGGCGTGGTCAAGGAGCTGCTGTCCCGAGGGGCTAGCGTCGACGCAGCTACCAAGGTCCAAAACCCGGCACAACTAAATTACATTCCTTAAATTAAAAATGTCATCGTGATTCTCTCGTCTTAAGTCGGTTATGCTTTGCGGTTTGTCGGTGTAATGAGGGTCGGCGTCCGCTCGGCGTGAACTCCGCATTTGTTGTGACCCCTCGGCGGTGCAGAAGGGCAACACGGCGCTGCATATCGCGTCGCTCGCGGGGCAGGCCAGCACCGTGGCTATCCTCGTGCTGCACAGCGCCGACGTGAATGCGCAGTCGCAGGTGAGCTCGCACTTGCGCGCGCACGTACGCACACACGCGCACATGTACACACGCGCACGTACACGCGCGCACGTACACACGCACACACGTACACACACACATGTACACACGCGCGCACGTACATACACACACACACACGTACACACGCGCGCACGTACACACGCACGTACGCACACACACGCACATTTACACACGCGCGCACGTACACACGCGTGCACGTACACACGCGTGTGCACGTACGCACACACGCGCGCATGTACACACGCGTGCACGTACACGCGCGCACGTACACACGCGCGCACGCTCACTACGAACGCACGTGAGTACGTGCAGTACAACAACAGCAACCGGCCACCGTTCGTCACTTAGTGGTGACAGTGACGTAGCCACAGAGTTCGTACCAGGCTAGGTGCACTTTGGGGTAGTGGGAAAGCATCCAATGAGGCTCCGCTGGCAGGAGCTCACAGACACAGGTGTTATGGGCTCGATGGCTGGCAGATGTGCGCAACCCGTGCTGCCCACTACGCCACCTTGCTGCGTTGTAGCGCTCTGTTCATTGTTGTGAGCGCCCTCCGTTTTTGCCAGAGCGTGATGGTCTGAAGTTGTCCACTCGCATCCTTCATGAGCTTCCTCCACACACACACACACATGAACACTTACTGTACTGTGTGTGTATGCTTGCACTCATGCAGATGTCCTGCACCACATGCGTACACACACACACACATACAAATTCGCTACACACTGGACATGTGCAAATGCATCAATTGATCAATTAAAATTGATTATTAAGCTCGTGATATATGCATCAAATCACAGGTTTAGAAACCGTTATCTACAACTTGTGCAAATTACATGCGCTTGCCTGTAATCCCCCATTACTGTGGAGGTGGTGCGGGTTGGTGAATCACGTGAATGTTGTGAAATTCCCTTCCTGGGGCGTCGAGGTGCCGTAACCTTGCCCACCAGAAGGCATTACGACAAATGTGGACTGCCAATTTTATAAACGTTTACTTAATTGGCCTTTTGGCGTCCTCTGGTCTAACACCGTTTGAGACGAGGCTCAATAAAGGATTTAAAAACAAAGTTTTTAAATCCTTTATATGCGTGGCGGCGAACTTAATATAAAGGATTTAAAAATATATTCGCCTGTGGAGGACGCGGGGATCGATCCCGCGACCTTTGGCATGGGAAGCGAGGGCGCTACCAACTGCGCTACTCCGCCACGGCCTGTGGAGGGGTTACGCTCTGGGCTCTTATACTGTGATGTTCAGCCAAAGCCAAGAATGAGTTCTATTTGAATATATGTAAAATAATTTTTTTTTGCCTAAAAAGTGTAAAATTTTGGGAATTTTTTTTCACGAACAATAATTGTCTGGCACAACGAGTCTGTGTGGAAAATGTCAGCTCGATTGGATCACGGGAAGTGGGTTAAAAAACGACCGAAAAATTTGCACGATCCTAAGCAAGCAAGCACGCAAGCAAGTGAACTTAATATAAAGGATTTAAAAAGAAAGCTGCCTCTGGTGTGGACCAATCAGTTTCAAGGACAATGCATGTGTTACCAGAGTTTGTTTTTTGTTTGCATTCTGACCACAAGCATTGTGGTTAATGCAGACATAATTCCTTGTAAAAGGTTTCAGTTTGGTGTTTTAACAACTTAACACCTGTTTCGTTGCCAGAAAAAAGGGGAAAACCCTATTCTCATATTTTGCTACTGGCAAAGGAGGTCCCATGATGCAGATCACAGATTTGTTTAATTCGGTGGTGGTGAAGATCATGGCATATCCCAGGGACAGCAATAAGAACCAAGCGATTGGTGGAAAGGTTAGACTGCGGACCATGACAGAAAGACGAAAACTAAAGCATTTGGAATGTCATCATTAGACCTCCTTTACAGTACCAAAATATAATAATAGGGGTTTTTCCCCTTCTTTTTCTGGCAACAAAACTGAAACCTTTTTACAAGGATTCATGTCTGCATTAATCACAATACTTGCAGTCAAAATGCAAACAAAACACTGATAATATATGCATTGTCCTTGAAACTGATTGGTCCACACCAAGGGACGACTTTCTTTTGAGCACCAATTGGGTCGAGGCTTCAGTTTTGTTGCCAGAAAAAAGGGGTAAAAACCCTATTATTACATTTGGAACGTGTTGCCATAGGCGTGACGAGGTACATCTGTACACACTGCTGATGTTTGATGAAGTGGCGTGAATGTAAAAAAAAGGAAAAGCGGTAGATGGAGACCATTAGAGACGTATAGTATTGTAAATGTCATCAGGAGGATAGCGTACCCAATGTTATAGCAAAGCCCCAAATTGCAGAGGGGTTTGATTATCGGGGCGACACAATTTTAGTAACGAGTAGGGCAGAGAGAAACATGTTCACACACACACCCAGTCACCGCAACAGATTGCATGACAAATATGGGCGATATACCATCAAGCATACGGTACAGTATGCAGAAACTAACATGTTTGGGGGGACACAAAGACAAATATCCCCCGTATAGGCATAACAGGCTCTAGGAGCAAGTGCTGTTAGCAAGCACCGATGAAGGCCAGCACGGCACTGGAGGGGATGGGTGGCCAGTGCCACACTTGGCTGCCTTTGCCTCCCTATTGGTGATGTTAACACACCACACCAAGTACATGTTTGAGGCTGAGTCGACCTAGGGGAGGCCCAGGACCGGTTCAGATAATCCTCACAGCTAGAGGTGCGACAGGAAAAATATGGACAAACTGGGGGGGGTGATTTGGTAAAGTTGATTGATGCAAATAGGAGCAGAGGTAGTCAGAGACTAAGACGGACAGATAATATCGTAAATCTAACCAGAAGGCTGGTATACCAAGGTCATGAATGCTCCGCAATAAGTGGTAATGGCTAACAGAGAGAAGAGCGAGTGAGCGAATGGATGGGTTAGTAGTGAGATAATGAGCGAGTGTGAGTGAGCGAACGAATGGATGAAGATGCGGCGAGCGTGTGTGGACGTGTGCGCGTGTACCAGGCAACGCCTCTAGTAGCCGTTGGAGTTTGTGGAGGCGCAAGGTGGCAAAAGGTCTGAAGTTTTCGTGATTGCAATGAACAGTGCTCTCTGGTTTTTTCGGTAAAGTCACGTAGGTATAAAATAAAATACAAAAATAATAAAATAATAAAATTTATTTTTTTAGGTATATAATAAAATACTAAAAATACTACAAATAATAAAGTTATTTTCTGGTATAAAATAAAATACTACAAATAATTAAAGTTATTTTTTGGTATAAAATAAAATACAAAAATACTACAAATAATAAAAGTTATTTTTTTAGGTATAAAATAAAATGCAAAATAATAAAAATAATACAATTAATTTTTTAGGTATAAAAGAATACGTTTTTATTTTATTTTTTGTATTTTATTTTATACCTACGTGACTTTACCGAAATAACCATAGAGTGTGGGAAAAGGTATTGAAGATTTTACCCAGGAGGGCAGTATACACTATCAATGTTTAGTATCAGTGGCGTCTGCTGGGTTATGGGAGCTTGCAGAGGTGGAGGAAGTAGCTGGGACGGGGCGGGAATGTCGATTATTGATGAACGTGTTGAGTTCGTGTTGTTTTCGTGCTTGTACACCATTGCCAATGCTGCAGCATCAGCAGCAAACATCACAGAATAATTTGATGAGCGGAAAAAAATGATTTCGGGTTTTCTTTTTATCATGAGTCGGGCCCCACCACCCTCGCCCCAGCAGACCTACCGACACTTTCCTCGCCCCATCGGCCCCACCAGTCGTGACGGCCAAACCAGCCACGGGACATTATAGAGAAGCCCCGAATCGTGGAGTCTATTGTATTCGTTATCGAGGTCACAAATCTTCGGCAGCGAGTCAAACGGCGCGCGCGCAGAGAGATGAGTGCGCGTACGTGTCTTGCACGCACAAGACTAAGACCCCCCGTATAGCCTCAACAGACTGTAGGGGCAAGTGCTGTTAGCGAGCACCTATGAAGGCCGGCACGGCACACGAGCGGGTGGGTAGCCAACACCACGCCCGGCCGCCTTTGTCTCCCTAGCGGCGGCAATGTTTACACATCGCACTAGGTACTCATTTTAGGCTGAGTCGATCTAGGGGAGGCCCGGGACCGGTTCAGATAATCGTCACTGGTGTTGGCTGTGAGCGGGAATCGAACTCGGGTCGCCGGGTTCATAGCGCAGCGCGCTAACCGCTACACCACCGCTCCCCACGCACGCACATGCACGGACACGCACGCACATGTGCACGCACATGCACGTGCGTGCATTGTACAAGGCTCGCTCCCTCGAGCAAGACCCCACCACGTACGCAGCAGCAGCAGCAGCCACTCGCTCCGCATGCCGCAGAGCCCACGCCCCAGTGTAGATCTGCTCCACAATCCCCCTCCCCTCCCCCACCCCTCTCTCATTCCCCACCCCGGCCTTGAAAGTGGCCGAGCGCTCGCTGCTCCCATCTGTCGAGCATTTTCCACCAACCCCGCTGCGCGGATGTGGCTTTGCGGCTTTTATTGTGGAGCGCGCACGTCAGGGTCGTGGGTGGTGGGCGCAAAGGGGGAGCGGTGGTGCAGCGGTTAGCGCACTGCGCTACGAACCCAGCGGACCGAGTTCGATTCCCGCTCACGGTCAATACCAATGACGATTATTTGAACCCGTCCTGGGCATCCCCTAGGTCGACTCAGCCTCAAATGAGTACCTGGTGCGGTGTGTAAACATCGCCACTGGGGGAGACAAAGGCGGTCGGGTGTGGTGCTGGCTACACCACCCCCTCGTGTACCTCGCAAACAGCACTTGCCCCAACAGTCTGTTAAAGGCTATACGGGGGATCTTTGTCTTTGCTTTGTTGGTGGGCGGAAATGTTTTTCTGCGGCGGCGTATCCTTTTGGACCTCTGGCTCGGCGTGCCGAGCTCATATTGGAATGAAACGACGACTCACTCGGTCGATCAGTCAGTCCATTAGTCGTGTCAGTGATGTTTGTTCA